TGCTCATCACTGCCCAAAGTCTGGTGGTTACCAGCCATCAGACCTGCCAGCATAATTGCATGCATAGCTGCTCCCTGACCCTGCTCTGTCAAAATGAATGCAGCTGAGCTTAAACACCTCTTTTATAGTTCTTGGGGGGCTTTTGTTTCTGCTTTTAGCTGGATCACTTTGTCAGGACCAGGTTAGGGAGCAATTAAATGTGCAGTTATGTTGGCAGATCTGAGGGGGCAGCTGGATCAGAAGCAACACATCTGACCATTCTCTAAGTAAACATCTGTCCAAAGATTTACTCAAACAGATGTGGAGAGAAAAATTTAGCTAATAAGTCTTGAAGTGGAAATATGATTTACAAGACACTGCATGTATCAAATTTTCTTTTAAGAGATGCAGTCACTAATTTATGAGCTTATAATTTTCTGCATTCATAAGCGTACTGAAGTACTAGTAGATGCAACAGGAAGCCAGGACATACTTTAAATGGATGCATCCATGAAGGTGAGTATTTTGTTTTGTCAAAAACAATGCCAGCTCTATGGGGTTGTGAACTGCTTGCACTAATTTGAAACAAATGCATTTTAATCAGTTCTGCACACTACTACTATTAAGGACTGAAAGCTTCTGTTTTCAGACTGCAATTTTACATAATTTTATGTGGATAACTCAGTAATATTACAAAAGAACTGAGTGTTATCCTGCACCCCTGACTGCTTTTTTTCCATGCTCATTTTTTTGTTCTGGTACAAGATTTTGTGAACCATGGTAAGAGCTGATCCAGGTTAGTATGATGGGGGGAGGGAAGAGGGGGTGGTGGTGCTGGATGTATTTCCTGGGCCACTTCAGCACAGGGTAACACAAGTACTGATGCCAGCAAAAGGGGAGAGAACGATCAGAGGCAAGAATATTCAAATAGAAGTACAAATCAGGCAAGGGTCCTTCATTTGGCCGCAGTGTTGGCCTAATATGTATGTGAAACTGCTTCTTCAGTATTTCTTCTGCGGAAAAATTATTTAAAATCCAGGTTACACACAGAATTGAACCATATTGGTTTACAGGAGAAACAAAATCTATCCTCCTTTGATTCAGTTATTGCTGATGAGCAATTTTGAAGTGCATAATAGCATGACCTATCCAAAAAACATTTTCTCATTCCTTTCTGATGCTCAACACCACTTTGGAGAAATTCAGCCTCCTGTGTTTCACAAAGCCAAACATTTAATACAGAAAAAAAAAATAATGTTCACTTTAGAAATGGGAAAGTTCATTGCAGATTTGTTGACAAAACTGTTAGACATATATATATACACTTTATAAACTCACACACACTGTGTGACTGTGTTGCAGAGCTGAACACTAAAAACTGGCAATTGAGCATGACCATAAAGAATGGAGACTTTCCCAACTAGTTTGAAAATGTACCTACCTCAGTTATCCCCCAAACACTTTTTGATTTGATTTATGTTCTGCTGCTTTAAAAGAAGAAATGGGCCAATATGAAATAATGCACATACTTGTATAGTGGATATTTATACCCAAAATAAACTTTCTCTTGGGAGAATATTTTTAAAGCAGCATTTCAAGTCTCCTGGCAATGGTTTGTTAGAGAAGTTTGTTATTTATTTAGAATAAAAGTTCTCAGAAATTTTTTAACCACCAACATTGAAGATGCAGGGAGTAAGGTTAGTAATTCAAATGTGTCCCTTTCCCCCGAACTGCTTTTCATTGCATATAACATTTAGCATTCATACATGCAAAGGAATGCACAGTATGTGTTAAGGAAAAAAAATATATATAAGAAATGTATGTGCTATTTTACAAGAAGTAACATGTACACACAAAACAATTCTACTTTCTATATGCTGTTGAGTCTAATAAGCCTAAAAACAAACCACATTGCCTTTTCTGATTAGACTTTTCTTCTTGCACCTACATTTTTAATATTTGGCATAGGAATATCAACAATTTATGATTTGCATTTTCTCCAACAATGAAGTAAGAAACACTGAATAAATATTGTTTTCCCTCAAGAGATGCAGCACTTGTTATACAGACTGTGAAATGGAAAAACATACTCAGAGGCTGAATAATTTTTCCATACAATGTAAAGACCTCATTGCAATGATGCATCTGAAGCTTCATTCTAACTAATAGACTGAAGCCCACCATTTTAGATTCAACCACAGATTTTTTAAGGAAGTGGCAAACCATTCCTGCTAGTTGAGAAAATGAAAATTAGTCCCTGGGAGAGGATACAATCAATGGTGTGTTAATCTAACCTTCAGCTGTTAATGATTTGCACTACTATTTCCCCTGATGCTGTGGGTTCTGCTGAAATATTGTTTTAGCAGTTTCTGTCAGCTTTCCCTACCTTTTTTTCTTCCTGAAAGGGAAAGACTGAAGTGAAAGTCTTAGCAATGGATTGCGTGTGCAGTTTCCCCCCTCCTTTTTTTTTCTGACCCATTTCTTTCACACCATGGAAGCAGAAGACAGAAGGGTAAACTGTTTCTTTCACATTCAGTAAGAAATTTCAAAGCTTTGTAAAAGCTTTTTTTTTTTTTTGGATAGAACTGCTGAGAAGGGTCTTGTGTTTCCAGCCAGGAAAGCAGTACAAGTGACCTGGAAGAGACTTCTTGTGCTGGTGTATCAATGAGTAAGTGTACTGCCGATTTGCCTGATCCTACAAAGTTTATGTCCTTAAGGATCATTTAGCTCACTCACTCAAGATAACTTCACAAAATAATTCTTATCCAAAAGAAAACTGCTTAGCCTACAAGCCAAATTCTGCAGCAGAGTACTGAGTGCCAAAATAATAAAAGTACTCAGCACCTTGCTAAGCTGTGTTCTACACATGCAACATTAGTTTTCTTAACAAGCATTCGTTCCAGGAATAAGTGCCCCTGAAGCATTTTAGTATTCTTAAAATACAGCCAAAAGACCTCACAAAACCATTCAAATTTCCATCACACATATCTCAGTCCCCCTAACTTCATCAGTCCTGAATATTTTAGATAAGAAAAATAAGCATTCATCATGGTAAATCTGAAGTATATGACTGTCTAGAAAAATTCTGTAATTTGAAAAAATTATATTTGAATAATTTCAGTTTTAGCTGCATGAAAACTAGAGTAAACTTTCTTTAGTGGTGTGTTTCAGTGCATACAAGTCTAATACTTTATATAATTTATTATGGCTTAAAATATAACACAAAATTGCATGTTTCTCCTTCAGCATCAGGTTCACAGATCATATCAAAATAGTTTGAGTATAGATTGCTCGCTAGTTGCAAAAACTAGCTTCATGCAACTCTCCATTTAGATGTTACTTTGAATATTTCTCAAAAGTTCAAGATAATTTCTGAAAGTTATTGTCTCTTATTTCAAGATATATAAGTTTGGGAGAGTGTCTATAAGTGACATTATTTATCTGCCAAACTCCCTAAATGACTTCATTCAAGACAGTTACTAGTGAAAACTAAGATGATCAATCACAAGGTTTTTTTGTACCTAAATTAAAGGTATATAGATCTTATCAAAACTTTTCCTTTATTACATTTTTTTTTTAAATGTGCAAATTCAAACATCAATAGACTACAAATTCGGTGATTTATGTATTTCAAAATTTAAGTGTGAAAAAAATGGTCGCTACTTGACAGTACGGATAATTTTTTGTTTCTGTGCTCTTTTAATGTATTTTAGCAATACCTTTGTTTGCAAAATCTGCAATGACAAAAACTAGGGATCTGTAAGTAGCAATGACATCATTGCACTGATTCAAAATATTCAGGTTGATCAAATGCATTACCCATATATTTCTGTGTGGCCAAATATAAGAACATATTGTCTATGAATAAGGAATGCAAGCCACAATCTAAAAATTATATATATATATATTTGGGGATGAAAGATGGCTCAAAGGACTAACATGGACCTGGGATATATAAACGGAGGAACAACAAGTAGAAATAGAGAACAAATGACTTCATTACTTGGCACTTATGTAGCAAATTCTGAAATATGGAGTGCACTTGAGACATCAACATTAAGAAGGCTGAAAAACTGTAGAGGATTCAGAAGAACTGTGGGAATAATTGAAAGACTTGAAAATATACTGTATAGTCAAATTCAAATAATTGAAACTTTTCTTCATGTAATGAATAAGATTATATGCAACAACGGTAATCTGTAAATTCATACAGTGGGAATAGAAACTGAATCCCTTTTTAACAGAAAAGATGTAATAAAATCTAGCGTCTGGAAGCTCATCTTATGAAAAGGCAGATCTAAGACACAATACTCCTTAGAAGCATTTAGAGCTTCTGAAAATCACTTAGATCTTTTTATATAAAGAATTTGCTGGATTCCCTACTATTAAATATTTATTAATCTATAATGTATATTTCTTTAAAACACAACTCCATCCACCATGAAGTAATTCAGGTTAATCTTATGACCTCTATATAGGAGAGAAAAAAACAGATGATCATGTTTGCAACATTTCTCTTGAGCATTAAAACCTCTGAGAAGTCCACTGAACTCAAACAAGATCATGACTGAGTTCAAAGAGCTTTGAATCACATGTTTATTCACATTTCTATTTGGTTATATGCATGCAATTTTACTTTAAAGGCTAATGAATATAAAGGACTTCTTTTTCTCTCCTTTCTGCAGGTTAATAAAAAAACTCAGATTTTAACATAATCTAAGACACCAGTTAACTGAAGTCCCAGAAACAACTAAAGGTGACAGCCAAGATCAAATATGGATGAATATAATTGGAACAGGAAAATATCCTGCAAGTATCATATTTAGTTTTACAGATTAGAAAGACATTTATGCTCTCTATGCAACTTAATTTATCAAAGTAAAATCTAGATGCTTTATTTAATCACTTTGGGTTAGCAATAACAATTTCAATAATTTAACAATTTAAATACATTAAATTCTCTCTTCTTCCTTCTCAGTGGCTAGCAAACAACCTTAAGCTAATATAACACATATACTTACTCTGGCAGTCGAGACAGGATACCTAAAGAAAGAGAACTTATGCCATCATTGATTCGACCTGACAGCTTATGCTTCTGAACCCAGCTGACAGCAAACTCCAACACAATAAAAGCAATGAAGAAAGGAATACTCTGAAAAAGAAATGGAAGAAAAGCAGTCAGAACACAAGTAGGATTAGATCTGCCTTTTCAGTTTCCTTTAGGAAGAAATTCTTTACTGTGAGGCTGGTGAGGCACTGGAACAGTTTGCACAGAGAAGGTGTGGATTCCCCATCCCTGCAAATGTTCAAGTCCAGGTTGGATGGGGCTTTAGGAAACCTGATTTAGTGATCTAGTGGAATGTGTCACTGACCCTGGCAGGGAGATTGAACCTAGATAATCTTTAAGGTTCTTCCAAACATGATTCAAAGAGCAGATTATGCAGACAGATACTTCTCAGGTTGACTTGCATCTTTCTAGCTACTATTGCACCCTGATAATAAAGTAAAGCTCCTCATGGACACTATAAACAAGGACGACCAAGGCTGCCAAGGCTTAGATGCCACCAGAATAAATCCAATGCACTAACTTCATCCCATATTACTTTCTATTGTCTGCATGTAAATTATTAAATGCATCAAAAAAAAAAAAAAAAAAAAAGCCTTTTCAAACTCATTTCTTATTTTCAAATAAATCAGTTAAGGCATCAACATTTGTGGACTCCTCTAACTCCAAGGTAAAATAGAATCTGCTTTCAATTTAATATGTAAGCAGTATTTGAAAGTGTTCAGCCACTGAATTTGGCATCCAACAATATTATCTGAAAGACACATTAGAGTTACTTTCTGCTTAACATATCTGTTGCCATGCTTTTTGCTGCTGATAGCAACAGCTCTTCCATATGCATTTTAACTAGAGAACCCATGAATTATGTGAAATAACTATGAAACAAAGTCCAATGTGGGCCTGTATTCTTTCCAGATCAAGTAGAAATTGTGCTCCCTTTTTTTCTTTTGGGTTATACTAGCTGTCAAATTATTTACTGCCTTTCTGAAGAAAACTATAATACTGCGCAAGACAAACATTTTTCACCCACAACACTGTTCCAGTCTACAATTCAGCTCACACTGTATATTCTGAGTCCCAGATCAATGGACAAGATGAAAATGCCCAAGAACAGCACCCATTAGAGAATGGTATGGATGTGACTAGTGAGGTAGAACTGGCAAAAATTATTGTGAAAACACCATGTTTCATCAGTGCAGACTGATAGTGCCTGCAGTTTATGGGAGGAAAAACTGATGAGACAGGAACAGCACATCAGACACCAAGACCACCACCAGAAGGCCTGCAGCAAGGAATATAGGAAGTAGCTATTTTATTTGCATCAGATCTTTGTGAACTTGAATGTTCCTTAAACCACCTCCCTTGCTCTGCAGAAAAAGCTTAGGTAACCTTGGAGACATTCAAACAACTCCTTTTTGCTGGTACTAAGGCATAAAATTCACACTGCATTTTTTAAGGGATAGAGAAGTACAAGACCTGTTAGACTATCCACTCACCAGTATGGGAGACATCACACTGCTAGACTGGTCCCTGTACCCCTTAGACTTTTTTCACTGTCCCATTCAAGTCACTGCAAAAATATAGATCCATATACTGAAACCTTCCACACTGCACCGTATGAGAGAGGTTGCTCCTGCCTATACATTTTTTTAATGGAAGAAGCACGTTGCTTCTGCAAATGCCATTGCATTTTGGAGGGTGCTCATTTTTGTTGCCAAGTGAGATGTGATCCGGGAATTCCTACCAAGCTAGGACACCAAAGAGACTAAGATGGATATAGACCAGATTTCTCAGTCAAAGAAGAATGGGATGATTCAAACCATGCAAGCAGAGAGAGATTTATAGTGTCTAGGAAATATGAAAGTTCATCAACTGCAGCAGCTCAGGGTTAGGTTACAATAACAGATGAACAGAGATTAATATCAACATGGCACTTTTTAATTTAGATGCCTAGCTTGAACTTTAACAGTGCTTTAGGAATCTAAAGGCCTGTTTGGGATACACATTAGCCGATGATAGAAAAGTTTCAAAAACAAAGGAAAGCTTATGGATAAATCCTAAACAGTACCCAGCAAAACCAGTGTGGTAAATCTTTGTACATTTGAAATCAATAAAAAAAAAAAAAAATGCACTCTCTTAGAGGTCATTGAAGCATCCTAGAAAAAATATAAATGTTCCTTGTTTTGCTTTAACTGAATAATTTCTAAGTAGATAAGATGTTTATTTTTTTTCTAGTTGATATAATTAAAAAAGATTCCTAAATTACTAAACAAGCCATATAACCATGCCTGTACATCCATCAGAGATAAAAATGGTCTTCTTGAGAACCACTAAGAAAGATTTTACCAGAAAATTAAGAGCCAGCTCTAGCACAGACTATAGACAATTTCAAAGTTATGCAATAGCAGAAGCTGCACTGCAAATTGAAAGGGCTCAGGGCAGAATAACTGGGATCTTTCTTTTATTCAAGAAATGAAAATAACATACAGGAAATATACAATTCCTGTATACTGCATGGCGATTCACTTTACCTAGCAACTTCTGAAATAGTTAAAATACTTGGCTTTATACTAATACAACTTCTTTCCCATTGACTTCATTAAATATTTTCTTCCCACTGTGAAGCTGTGAGACAGCCAAATATTTGACACCACTTTTTGACTCACAAATAGGGAGTGTCACAGCAAGGAGGATACAGAAACATTCAGACAGTCTTAACCTCCTGCCTATCAAAGAGTTTGAGAAAGGAAAGTGTTATGACATACCTCTTGGTACCTAAGATATTACTACCTCTCTTCCATGCACCCACATTATGCTGTGTCCAAAGTAGATCAAAGAAATCAACTACCTCAGAACTTGTATATGTTATTTCTGTGAACATAATACCTAATATTTATTGTCATAGATCAGGATATTATCGAGTTAGATGCCATAAAAACAGAAGGAAAAGGCACTCCTTGTCCCTAACAGCTTATCATCTTGGGATGAAGTGTAAGACAGCAGAAGGATAACAGAAATAATACAGGAAAAAATGAGGCAGTCAGTAAGGCAGACAAGTTTCAAGTAGCCTAATCATTAGGTTTTTGGATGGTTAGTTGGTTGTCTTTTTTTTTTGGGGGGGGGAGGGGTAAGGGAGGGCAGACAGGGATAAGTGTGCAGGGTAGTAGTTAAAATGACAATTAAGATGTTTAATGAACATGAGGGAGAAAGGTAACTCCTACATATCCAGGAAAAGTTTTCAAGTATTGTCCCTGCAAACAAAGTCCCACAAAATTAAGCAATAGCCACTGTTGACCTCACTGGTCAGAGATGGAAGCTGGCCCCTTTCGATATCCTCTGATCTACAAATGTTTTACTCTGTTACCAGCTGCTTTCTTTTCACCCATCAGCAGAAATGCCTAATGGGGATTTGCACTAGTTTTTGTGGTTTATGTGAATAACTGATCCATAACTTGGAAGTCTTACTCTGAATGCTGAATAAAGGGTTTCCCTTACAAGTAACCAATTCTTACACAATGCAAAGGACCATTTTAAATCAATTTCTATTTCATACAGTTGCAAAAAATAATACTAAGTTGAAAGTCAGCATAAATTCATGATTTTATTACAAGCCTTGAAACAGTTTGTTTTCTTAAAGTCCCAGGTCCTCATAACATAAGATTCTCAACTTTCACATAGAATTAAATAAGCAGGTTCTGTGCCTCATTATTTAGAAGCAAAGCCTAGAAGCGTGGATTGAGTGTAAATGTGAACTTAATCTTTGGGCTCTAAAAAACAGAGAGTAAACAGAAAAGAAAAACAGTAATTATTAAATTTAGTGCTTCCATTTTGGGGCTTTCAGAGGAAGGAACAGCGCACTCTCTTCCTGGGACTGACTACAGTGACTACAGTCAGTAGATTAAAAGTCTACTTCAGTCTACTAAAGTAGACTAAAGTCTTTTCTGCACATAAATGATAATTCCAGAAGGTAACAAGAAGTGAAATTATGTTCATGAAAACTGTACACACACACACACAAAAAAAAAAAAAAAAAAAAAAAAAAAAAAAAGAGAGAGAAGGACTCCCTCTGCCCATCTGCAGAACATCGAGAGAATCCAAGAAACAGAGCAAGCAAAGTATATTCTTTTATACTTTGAGTCCTTGTGAAAGGACAAGGTAAGCATTGGTATGCATTGTAAGAGTTGGGTTCTAAACTGGAGGAAAAAAAAATGACTTGTACTTTCTCTTCTCTTTCTACAACTGAGGGAAAATAAAGGTTTTCAAAGTCTACCTGACAAAAGCTCGCATAAAAATGAATTCCATGATTGTGGTCCAGGATTTGGACCCCTTTTCCCAGAGTTTTGGAGTCTAGCTGGAAGGGTGATTTTCCCCTGGGCCCCACTGCAGAACATTGCTTACTGGTCGTTGGTAACCAATCAGACCATGTTTTGAACAGGACTTGGGGCCTTAACATACAGCTATGCCAACAGAGCAGAGTGCAGAGACCAGGAACTGCCCTGCTTCTAAAAAAAATGAAGTAATATAACTACAACCAGAGAATACCGTGCACAAATTAGACTAAGCTATAAGCCTAAGATAATAGGCTAACCTATCAGACAGCAATTATAGCTGAAAAACTTTTTTAGTGTAACTTGTGCTAGGTACATATTCCCTTACAAACTTATCACAAGGGAGTTGTACAAGAGCAGGAGCCTGCAGACACTTCTATAATGCAAAGAAGTATCAGGAATCCTTCCGCAAACTTTCATAACTGTCTGCCCTGTATCAACAGTCACAGGTTAGGCCAAGGTCTGAGCTGAATATTGCACAGGTCTGCATGGGAGAAGGAAGTTCAGGGACGTTAAGGAACAGTGCTAGCAAGAAATTGAATGATACTCAGCTGAAAATGTGGGAACAGTAAAAGGGATTGGGATAAGCACTAGACAGAGCTGGAGGAAGCAATCAGTTGACTAGGCAAAACTGCCAAGCTCTAGACAGACTTGCCTGACCATTGTGCTATAGCTTTGTTGCAAAATGCCTCTGAGATCAGTCCATCGACCAAATTTTGTGTACACAGGTTGGATTTGCAGCAGCTGTCTGCTTACCCTATCCAAAAGGGCCGTGTTTGCTGATAACCACCATCAGTGGCGGGTTGCTGAACACTGACATTCCCAGAAAGCTGCTGACACTGCTGTACTACTCTGCACAGTCCATGACACCCCCATTACAGCCCAATAGCAGCTACTGCACAGCAGTTTGAGATATGTACCAAGATATGTGCAATAGGTAGGACAGAAGGGTGCAAAGGTATCTCCTGGAAAGCGGACAAGCCAGTAGGGCAGGAGGGGAGGGAGAGATATGCTGCTGCCAAGGGAGTTCTCATGCCTGACCTCTGTACTCTTGCCTTGAAACTTTAGGAATCTGCACTGTCCCAAAACAAATATTTGTTCTAATTATCTTAAACAATCTTTGTGTATTTTTTTTTATTTATTTTAAATAGTGATTCTAAATATATGTGTGTGTGTATATATATATATATATATAAAATTATTAGTGTTTTTTTTGTTTGTTTGTTTGTTTGTTTTATTGCTTGCTTGCTTGCTTGTTTGAAGATCTGCAAGGTAGAAGCCTAGCCTGAATAGCCCAACACAGCATCATGCATTCTGGTTTACTCAGTTCAGTTTGCTGTCATTATATCACTCAGCTCTGCCAATGTGAACAATGTTAGCACCAACCTTCAGATGTAAGGTGCTCCTCTGAAAACTGATATTAGGAGAAAGCATCCAAGCCTTCACTTAGAATACATTATTAGAATACTTGGCTACACTGCCAGCAAGCCCAGGAGTGAAGGGAGACAGAAAGACAAAGTACTTAATCTTATTTGAGGTGCTCTCCTGCAGTCATCGCTTCCCCAAGCCTTTGAAGAGAGGAAGGCATTGGCTGCACGCAGGGTGAGCGGAGGGGAGGGATGGATGCTGCGGGGAGAGAGGAGAGGAAGGGGCTCTCACCTTCTCCACGTAGTCGGGCACCTCCTCCAGCGTGCGGAAGGAGCTCTCCCCGGGTGGCAGCACGTAGAAAAGAGCGCGGAGCTGCTGTCCCGGTGTGGTGGCCCGCGGGCTGCCCGCTGCGCTGCCCATGGCCCCGCTGCTCTGCGCCGCGTTGCGCCCGCCCCGGCCGCCCGCTGGGCTCTGCGCGGCCTCCGCAGGTGCGCTGGGAGCGGCGCCCGCAGCGCGGAGCCACCGCGCCCGCGCCTGCTCTGGCCCTTAGCCCTATTTTCGCTTCCCCTTGGCGGTGGGGGTCTCGCAGCCTGCTTTCGGGAAAAGCCTCTCGTTTGTCCTTTAACCGTGCTGCTATGCAGATCTTTAAATTATCGCTAATATTGTTCGTTTTCATCATTGGTTCAGTGGATGGCCAACTTTTTGCATACCGATCTACTGCATTTTCCTTCTCACCCTCCAAAATCCCTGAACAGCAGAGCTCAAGATACCCCTTTTCAACTTTTCCACCACAAAATATTGTTCAGTTTTTGAGTCCTGCATAAATGCAGTTTTATTTATTTATTTTAAATCAATATGTTTATATTTTTGAGAAACAAGGCAAGGTGTGCTCGTCAGCTCCTTTGTTCAGCTGCATGGGGCAGCCAAGCACTCCTTCTGTTCAATGTTTTTATTTTTAAGCTTTAAGAAGTGTTTATTGTAGTTCAATTTTATGTAGCTCAGATTAATATAACTATGCTGAAGGCAGACTCTATCAGGTTTTCTTTTAGAAAGGAGTAAAAACTAGGGAAATATAAAGAAACAGTGAAAACAAATGTGTGTTAGTGTCCTGTAGAAAATGACTTACAGAAACAGAAATAACAAGAGGCTTTGTACATTCAGTCCATTAATCCAAAACTCAGGAGGATGCATTTCCCTGTCAAATATTTGTCAATCACCCTTGATATTATTGGCATTATGACAAATAATAAGCTTTGTGATAAAATAGATTAGCCAGAAATAAAATAACATGATGTCCCAATGACCCCTTCCTCTCAAATGTTCAGTTCCACTTAAAACCTTTGCAGAAGAAATGGACTGTAAATCCTGCTGTAAAAGATTTTGCCACATTTAAAATCCTTCTAGTTATTAAACTAAGAAAAACTGTCTACCTTGAAACAACCCTTATTTTTGGAAAGGAACTATGACAGGTAATGTGAGCTGAAATTTTTGTTTAGGAGAAGAAACATATGTAGAAATTGGCATTAAAATAATTAAAGTAAAGCACATTTGCTGTTTGTAATCATGTTGCAATTTGAACAGTTGAGGTTTAGTTTTAAACAATATTCTGTAGTTTGAAGAACATAATACAATAGTACACAAATAAATTTACTGGAAATATTTTATGTTAAGCTGAACAGAGCATGAGTATTTGAAAATGAAATATAAACTGTGTTTTGGCATTCTCTTAATGTGTATTGTTTATGCTAGTACTGTAATACAGGTAAAATTGATTAACAAACTTTTAAAATTTTTTTAAGTACAGCTTAGTGTTCTCAACTCCAATGTTGATTAATGGTGATTTGTGGTTCTTGTAGAACTCTAACTATTAACGTCTAAAACCTCAGTACATTGACATGAAAATTTCAAATTCACCCACCATCACACAGATCTACAGCATTCTATTTAGATTTTCAGGGTTCTTCACTCCTTTCATTTAGGTTAGCCTAGGTAATTTTACAACATTAATCTCATAGTCAGGCTGCTTGGCCTCCCCAGAACCAAGGTGCTCATTTGCACCATCCCAGCAGCATGTTGAGCCACCCTTTGCTCTGGTGCTCATGTTCGTCTTGGTCCCCTGTCAGCTCACAGAGCTAATCTGACCAAAACCAGTCACTTCCTCCTCTCCCCTCCTCCCTCTCTCCCCCCCCCCCCCAAAAACAAACAAACAAACAAACAAACAAACAAAAATGAAACAAACCAAACCAAAACAAACAAGCAAACAAACAAAAAACAGTTATCACTATCTGGGTTCTACCTTGGGATGTGAAGAACAATTGCTAGGGCAGGGAGTCCACGGCTACAAAAGGTGAGACATTTCAAGTAAGATGGAACTGCTATTTCATATTATACCTTCCAGGAAAAAAAGATAATCCAACAGTTTTTTGGGACTCAACACTTTCTTAAAAATTATTTTGGATCCCCATTTCAGTGTAAATTGTCACTCAAGTATCACCACACTGAAATTCACATATTCAAAACTAAAATAAGCTATTTGGATTTGATTATACTTTACAGAGGAAGCAGATGGGTTGTGCTTTCCAGCTTCTGTGTCCAAGGAAAAATAGATAGCGCTATAATAGCTACACCTCTAGTGAGGAGAAGAAAAATTTTAAATTCTATCTGGAACGCCTGAGTTTTAGACAGACGTCAGTAATCTGGCTGTACAAATGTAGCTGATGTTCTCTATTTAAGCTTTGAAATTTAGCATGCAGTTTCCAGTACTCACTCTTCTCTTTGTTAAGAAAGGAATGGAAAATTAAACATCCAGGAATGTTGCCTGAGTGGAAGTCCTAACACTCTAACAAACAACGTCTGTTCAGTGACCTTGCATAATCTCTTTTTAGCAAAAGACCATTTTTTTCATTTAAATATTTTATTTAAATATATAAATATATTTAACAGAAAATAAATAACTAAATAAAGCATTTATTTCCTATCTTGTGCTGCCACCAGAAATACAGAAATGATGTTCTCTCTGGAGACTAGGATTCTGCTGTTGACTAGTAGACCATTCCAGAAACTAAGGCAACAAAAGCCTCTGTTCTACTTAGAGGAAATTGGGGAGCTGGCCTAACATGATCTGTAGGTGGATCGTATTTTGTTTTCTCTAAAGAACTCCATCCCACCCACTTCATGAACAGAGAACGCCCAGACACTTCCTGTTTGGGTCTCTCTGAGCACTAAGCCAGCACTAAATAATAAACTCATAAAGGGAATTAGGGCAGGTTGAAATTGGGATGGGCTATATAGTCTGCCTTGGCAATCATTCACAGCAACCTGAATCACATCCAGAACTGAGCTGGGCTTAGAGACCTCTATTTATGTAGTGATAGCTTTGAATATAGAAACATTTTATGTAAGTATATTGTGTAGATTAAATAGGGTTTTTGTTTGTTTGTTTGTTTGTTTGTTTGTTTTCATGTATCTAAGTATTCAGAACCTTTATTCAAGCTTGGCAATGGATACCAAGATGCAATAGCGTAATTATTATAAAACTGGTATTATGAAATATTTCAAATATGTTTGCCAGTGATTAACCTTATATTGTATAACACCTGTTTTGATAGTGATTTTTTTAAAACAATTATTCCAGTTTTTGTTTCTTCACATTAAATAAACTATATATATTAATATGCAGGTCTTAATAGCAGCATAACTGACTCCAAAAGCCTGAAGACAGAGATGTGCTATATTAATCAACACCAAAACATACAATTAACTACTCACTACAAACTTCAGGGTTGTTTCCATTTCTTCTATACAGGACTGCTAACCAAAGAGCAGTACTCAGATGTGATAATTTTCAATTATTTACTCAATTCACAGTGATTTGTTAGCAAAATCAATTTATTCAAAGGTTGCCAGAGAAAGTAATAGACCCTTCAGGTGATCTGCCAGAGAAACTTTCTGTGATACTATTCTTAGAACTGCATCCTGTGTGTTTCTTTGATATTAACATCTACTCTTGAAGATTTTTTATTATTACTAATTTTTATTTTATTTTAAACAGTGGTGTGCCTGATATCTTTTATCTTTCTCTTCTGGAGAAAAAAAAAATCTCATCTGGAATAAAAAAAATATTTTCTCTTCTGGAATAAAAAAATATTTTTGTTATCATTCTTAAAATTTCTTATATTCCTTTCTCTGTTCCCTAGTATAATAATAATTTAAATAATTTGCACCTTAGACTGTGGTTCCCCACTGCCAACTGCTGACTTTCTGTTAGAAAATGGACAGCACTACCCTTTCCCTCCCTGCTTCTAACAGGACTCCTCGACTCCTTACCTTTGCCTGGCACCAAGAATGACAGGATTTCACATGAGTTGATTTACCTCACAAACTCACATTGCAAGAAATTAAGCCAGAAAAAAAAAAAATATATATATATATATAATATATATATATGTGTGTGTGTGTATATATATATACACTTGTTATACTTTACTACTGCTCTAGTGAGATAATTGGCTCATGAGAGAGTCCAGGGAATGCAGAAGTTGGCATGAAAGCCCAGAAGACAAAGGACAGGACCACACAGTTACAAACCAGAAATGGGAGGATGAGGTGGAAACAGGACTTCTTCATTTCAGCAGCAGCAAATTGTTAGATCAGATGAACAGCTCATGGAGTCACTGCCTCCTGTGCATTTGCCAAAAATATGGCTTCAGCAGGCTATCATATGTCAGCATGCAACTACATCCAAACAGTTGACACTTCCTTTATATCACCACTTCAGTAACTGCTTTTTTTTTTTTTTTTTTTTTTTCTGGAAAGCCAGTCTCTAGCAGGATGGAAGCTTTTTCTGTTATTTGCTTATTTATTATATATGTTATATGTTATGGTCTATGGATGGGTTTTGGCTGGATAGGAAAGAAGAATATTCCCTGGTACCCCATATTCTAGCTCCACATGTGACTAGGGTATGGAGCATCCGTAGGGAAGGAGAGAAAGATGATCTCCATGTGATTGCAGGAGGAAGGTTCTCCTGGAAACTAGAGTTTTTCAGAATTTGTTGCAACACAGGAAGAGAGCTGAGGCTGAAAGATGAGAAATACAGGATCTGAAGGTAGTGGCCCACCCTATTAGGACAATGTGAGCAGCAGGAGAATTGGCATTTGTGCTCTAAATTTCTATTAGTCTTCAATCATCAAAGAAAAAACTCAGTTTTCAGTTTTTCAGAAATACAGAAGTATTTTAAAAGTTGGTTTGTTTTAGTTTTTACTCTAAAAAAAATAAAATAAAAAAAAATATATATAGAGAGAGAGAAAACTCTGGTGTGGTTGCCATGCTGACTGCAAGGAAGATGGGAAGGGAGGTTCAGCCTGAAATTCTGACTGATTTTTGGGAGCCAACCACAAGCAGAAAGCCCTCTAATATGTTTGCATGTTAGCCTTCTTGAACAGTGCTGTAATGGCAAGAAGTTCCCAAGAGAGCCTAAGCAGT